GGTTCAGACTCGTCTGGTCTGGTTCAGACTCGTCTGGTCTGGTTCAGACTCGTCTGGTCTGGTTCAGACTCGTCTGGTCTGGTTCAGACTCGTCTGGTCTGGTTCAGACTCCTCTGGTCTGGCTCAGACTCCTCTGGTCTGGTTCAGACTCGTCTGGTCTGACTCAGACTCCTCTGGTCTGACTCAGACTCGTCTGGTCTGGTTCAGACTCGTCTGGTCTGACTCAGACTCCTCTGGTCTGGTTCAGACTCGTCTGGTCTGGTTCAGACTCGTCTGGTCTGGCTCAGACTCCTCTGGTCTGGTTCAGACTCCTCTGGTCTGGCTCAGACTCCTCTGGTCTGGTTCAGACTCCTCTGGTCTGGCTCAGACTCGTCTGGTCTGGTTCAGACTCCAACATGTGGGGCTGGATGGACCGGTCTTCCCTTGTTGACATCTTTAACTTGTAAATAAACCATTTCTGCGCAGCTATATAACCGTAACGATGAACTGCTGTGAAGCACCTTTAGATTTAAAGGAACAGCGTTAAAACGAGTTGATCTAAGGCACGCCTCAGAAAAGGGGCGGGGCTTGTGGAGTTGCAGTTCCACTTCAGAAAGACTGAAGAGTTTAAAATAATATTTATAATTTAATTTAATCTTTTCATGTTTTTGTCTAAATTTAAAGAAATGTTTAACCAGACGGGTCAGAACCTGTGACATCATCTGACTCCGCCCACCACCCTCTGCAGCTGGAATAAACGTGTTCAGATGAAACCAAGTGTTCAAACAGAAACTTTAATTGTTTCAGTTAATACTGCAGCAGTTCCAGAACCAGAACCAGAACCAGAACCAGAACACTTCCTTTCAGTTCTGAACCTTTCCTGAAACAAAAAGAAAAACATTCTGAGCAGTTTGATGGGAATTAAAGAGAAATTCTTTCCTGCATGTTTGGTCCAAACTGAACAGAACCTCCCTGAACTGTTTCAAACCGGGTCAGAACCTGTAAACATTAAATAAATTAAAACAATAAATATCACATTAAATCCAGCCCACTCCGGATCAGACGGGTCCATTCAGTTTGTGGACTTTTAGGGTCCAGATAAAACCCTGGTGGTTCTGTGAGTCCGTGGGCCCTAGCTGACCGGGTCCACCACCAGAACTTTGCACTCCCTCTTGGCGATCTTGTCCAGCGACAGCCGWGTTTTGTCCTGCGGTGTCAGGTAGAGGGGCCGGCCCACCGGAGACCCCACAGGAGGCGTGATGGCCCGGCGCTCCATGGCACTGCCCGTCCTGCCGACCCAAACAGAGTCAGACCGAGCAGAACACAAGAACTTCAGTCAGGACCGGGTCTCACCTCATGATGTGGGACCGGCTCGGCTGCTGGTGGGAGAAGGACTGAGACCGACCCAGACTGGCCTGGTGCCGGTCCAACAGGTCCCGGACCGCYGGGCTGGACGGGCTGTTTTTACCTGAGGAGACAGAACCAGAACCTTTTATTACCCAAAACAAAGAGACTCTGGACTGTCTGGTTCTGTCAGGTCCAGTGGTTCTGTCAGGTCCAATGGTTCTGTCAGGTCCAATGGTTCTGTCAGGTCCAGTGGTTCTGTCAGGTCCA